TATCTATCTTTTAATATCTGTTTCTTCCTGTTGACCTACCCACATATACCTTTGTTTCTATCCATCGATCTATGTACATATCTTTCTTTCGTTCTGTCTGTCTGTCTCTCTCTCTCTATATATATATATATATATGTATATACACACACACACACACACACACATATATATATATATATATATATATATATATAACCACATTATTTGTCTGCTCTTAATTCGTGTCTCTTGATTCAGTTTCTTGGTACAGCAATAAAGCTTAAGTAATTCATATCAGTTGTTAACAGATAGATATATTACTAGATAGACAGATAATAGAATATATATATATATATATATATATATATATATATATATATATAACGATACAGTATAGTAATCCGTATGGAATTTCCAGGAGTATATATATATCCAGGGAGAATTCTATGTCAAAAGACAGAGCAAAATTATTATTAAATAAGGAATAACAAACACTTAAAATCCCATAGGTAATACATTTTATTTCATGAGAGCTCTAAAACGCAGCTCTCAATCATTAAGACCTACAAACAAAAGATTTGTTTGCATATATATATATATATATATATATATATATATATATATATATATATATATATATATATATGGGAGAGAGAGAGAGAGAGAAAGAGAGATATACATAGATAGAAGAACCAATTCTTTAATAAATTTAATAATGTGAAAAGGAAAACTTTTTTTAGCCGATCCGTTTTGTCCTATGAAGGACTTTACTAAGGCTAAACTAATTTTGCAACAAGAATTTGTAGATATAATTTTAAAAACTTATTTGGATCGAAATCGAATGCCAAATTCATTAAAAGAAAGAGTAACTTACTTAAACTTATAATTCCTGAGAATGACGCTATCGAATTCTACCAACAGATAAAGCTGCACCTTGGATTTTTTTTTCAAATATCACCTTTCCTCAAAGAATTACTCTTTTCTCTAGCTAACATACATGACTATATATATATATATATATATATATATATATATATATATATATATATATATATATATATTGTGTATATTTACGCAGCAATTTTTCATTGATGCATGTTTCATTAAATAATATAGACAAGTTTTGTTTATTTATTTTAAGTAAGTTCCTTTCATATTGTCTGATAAGCTTAATAGCATTATCATTAAAAGACGAAAGGTAATCACCATATTGATACATGTTTAAATCCAATCTAAGCGTTCGGCTTACACAATCCATTATCAAAGATGACAATTACTTTTCAATATATCAACTACACGGAACAATAATGATACTCTGTTTTTGTTGCATGAAAAATTTTAAAGCAACGACTAACTCGTGTATACGAGACACGTAAGCAAAAATCGCGTCGCAGCTCGTGACGACACTCATGACCACGCGAGGGTGAAAACGAGAAGTATTAAGTATGGAAAGCCGTTGGTATAAACCAATGTCTTCTGTTATCAATTATATGCATTTAAGAATGTTTATGGAGATTTCGTAGTTTATTTTGTTTAGGTAAGGTTTCAGCTGTTTTGTGTATATAGCTTCAAGAATTTTACGTTTTTGTTTATTGTTTTCACGTTTAAGTATAGTTGTGTTTTCAACAAGGATTTTCCGGAATTGTGTACGCGACCAGGCATGTTGTTTTAAATGCCTAAATGTTTTAGGCATTTAAAAAAAATTAAAACAAATAAGAGAAAACATTTTATTGATATAAGGCCACATTTGGTGCGAATAAATATTGGCTCAGAGCAATGTTTTAATGTATTTTTTATAAAAGTCACTTTATTGCTTTTCTATCGTGCGGAATTTTTTTTTTATAGCAAAAACATTAATCGGTGTCAGACGATAATTTCTCTGCTGTTTTTTTCGGAAAAAAAAATTGATGTTACAGAACATTTTTTTTCTACATAAGCGTGTGTTTTTTTTTTTTTGCTTCAAATTTACCAAGAACAAATGAAACATATTCTGTTTTCTCTTTATGACACTATTTCTCATTTGTTGTAGACAACTGATGTCGCCGAAAAAGAACCGTGAAACAATGAATAATGAGCTCACCAGTCTGGCAGGGCGACTTATCAATCCCTGTTACTCAAGCAGATTTGACTTTGTTCACCACCCACCGAGCCTACGTATCGTTTATACTGCAACTACATTAACCAGACGTTTGTAATAGTTCATTATATCAAATTGTACAAATGGACAGTTCTCCTTATCAAGTATCCGTTCGAACCAGTTGATAACTACATTGGTACCGATCCATTGCAAAAGTCCGAAGCGGTCTTTAATTTGTTTGTTGATTTTTCAAAGGTAACCTTTCTAATTCTCCCCATTTCCGACCTGGTCGCGTTGATCAGTTTAGTGGAGGGCAGGGTTCCGAAATCAGGCTTACGGCCCTTGAGTAGTATGTTGGATTATCATGAAATGTGCTACCTTTAATCCATAAAAGGACTGTATATTCTCCAGCTGAGCTCCACCGCCCGAGGAGAGACACACAGTGTCGAAACATGATTGCCTTTATATAGTAGTTATAATATGTTTTTGAGCACGTTTTAAAAATATAACATTGGTACTAACCTACCTCACACTTGAATATATATTTAGCTCTTGAAAATATATTTCAATAGAGCACTGTTGAAAGATAGGCTAATTCTATAAACAAAAGCCACCTGCGCTAATGCAAAGCTCTTCAGTAAAATAAATTGGAGCCCTCTGACTGATTGGTGTTTGTTTACATTCATAAAAAGACAATACGCTATAATTAGCGGTTTGCCTCTGCCGAGCTCTGAGAGCTCAGTGGTAGAAACTCTGACTGACACCAAATCGGTCGGGTTTCGGTCCTGGCATAAGGCAATTAGATGTCTAGTTGCACCGAGGAGCTGCGAAACGGTATTGTCTGCGAATGCCAGTATAAACATGCATATAAATGAATATACAGTTCTGGTGGGGAACCAAATATTCATATACATACAAATTTTTAATTGATTGTATTTCCATTTAATGAATAAAAATACTTTTCGTATAATTAACTGTACACAGATGCATAATAACTAAATATGCATAGGAAACAGAAAAAATGATTTAATAGAAATAAATCCCATTTATCCATTTTTAAAGGTGAAAAAAGTATACGTACAATACAAAAAAGAATACATAATCTTCGTTTAAGACTTTGTAAAATAGCCATTATTCTCTTCTACAGCAATCAACCTCTTCCGTTTCTCAATTAATGGTTTGCAAATGTTAATTGCTATTTTATTCCATTCTTCTTCGCATATGATCTTCAGATCCGGGATGTTTGTTGAAGCTCTCAATTGAATTTGAATTTTCAAATAACGTCAAAGATTCTCGATTGGGTTTAAATCTGGGGACTGACTTGGCCATTTCAGGATATTTCCATTATTTTCAGCAAGCCATTTCTTCGTAGATTTTGCAGTGTGCTTAGGATCATTATCTCGTTAGAAGATCCAATCAGAATGAAGTTAAAGATTTTCAACAGAAATCATTAAATTTGCTTCCAAAATATTTTGATATAAAGCAGCATTCATTCTACCACCCATTACTGATATGTTGCCAGTACCTTTTGCAGAAAAAAACAAAAAAAAACATCCCTAAACCATGATACTGCAACCACCAAATTTCACTGTTGGAACTGTGTTCTTTTGTTTGAAGGCATCGCCATCTTTTCTCCATACATGATTTCTAGAATAACTTTCAAACAATTCAATTTTGGTTCGTCTGTCCATTATTGTTGGGGCGCACCCACCTTCTAACTAGTAATGGACTGGTCCCTCTTATATAAGTCAGCTCTGGAGAGAGAGTGACAGAGCGTCAGAGAGAGAGTCAGTGTCAGCAGTCCAGATAAGCTTACCCGGTACATACCGTTGGACTATAGACTTTGGATATTGTTTCGTACTAACCAACCTTCGTTCTACTAATCACTCTATTGTTAATTGCTTTTATGAATATACCAGTATTTTCCTCTACAACTGTGTTTGTCTTGATTCATACACCGACACGCGGGAAACTCACAACATCTCAACAATTATGCTCCTTCCCAATACGATTTTCCCTTATCCTTATGTTCACGAAGGAATTTCAACCTGGCATCTCTGTGTCTTTTCAATAGTAGTGAAGTTTTACGAACATTTGTTCCCCATAATTATATATATATATATATATATATATATATATATATATATATATATATATATATATATATATATATATATATATATATACACACACACACACATATATATATATATATATATATATATATGTATGTGTGTGTTTACAAAACACAAAATATAATAGTAAAGAGCGGAGATTTCTTTTATTCAAACATAAAATAACCAATTTGTTAGTCATTGTTCTTGCTAACAAGAAACATTCTTGTTAGCCAAAACTGATGCCAAACGTATCGCATTCAATTCACACGAATTTGGCATTCAAATTCTCCGCCCAGCAAATGCGAAAACTTTTCAGGAGCTGTACAATTCATTTTGGCCGTAGCGGACCTTTTCGAATCTGAAATGATTTGTGCAAATGTCTCTTGTGCGCGAAATTAAATTTTCCTCAGCGTCAATGCAATATATAACTTTTCGTCGACTCGGCAGGCCGGTGTCAACAAACAGTGACCACCAACGCAATGAATCTAATTGTTATGAATAAAATATAATTTGACCATTGATTTCATCAGTGAGTCAAAATCTTTTGCCAATAAACAGACTCGTGACGTTTCATGCATAATTTTAAATCGCTTGCCGCCGACAGACGAAAGAAACGCAAGAAAGTAGTAAGATAATCCTATTATAATGAATTGTAGAAATATATATATATATATATATATATATATATATATATATACACACACACACATATATATATATATATATATATATATATCATACAAGAAGAGGTGATTTTCTGTCCGTCACATACCGTTTGCGTGTGGCTATGCATGCGTATGCGTATATGTGTATGACTAATGTGTGCATGTGATATTCAATTTATACATACACAGTTGCACG